AGACTCCTATCTCCAATAAACCACCAGAAAACCGGAAGTGGCGCTGTAGCTCAAGTGGTAGAGCGCTCGCCTTGAGCTGAAGAGCTGAGAGACAGTGCCTAGGCCCAGAGTTCAAGCCCCATGACCGACAAAAAAAAGAAAAAGAAAAATTTCTTGAAAGCTATGTAACAAGGTTCAAAACACTAATATGACTTTAAGTTACGACATTTCAGTCATTTTAAAAAGTTGAAAACCTAGAAAATTGGCAAAGTAAGTCTCACTCAGCTTGTGTTAGGTGACTATAATAGGCAAGACCAACATAATTCCATTCATTTCCTTCTTATGGAAGCTATAAGAGATAAATTAAGGGTTCAAATCATGATACAAAGAAAAGCCTCAATTCCACTGAGCACCTGTAGCTCACGCCTGTCATCCTAGCTACTCAGGACACTGAGATCTGAGGATCACAGTTCAAAGCCAGCCTGGGCAGACAAATCTGTGCGACTCCAATTAACCAGCAGAAAGCCAGAACTGGAGATATGGCTCAAATGCTATAGCACCAGAAAAAGTGGGTGAAAAAGCTAAAAAAGAAGGCAAGGCCCAATGTTGAAGCCTCAGTACCACCACCACCAGTGCACACACATACACACACAGATAAAAATTCCCAAAGTACCCTTGAGACAGAAACCCTTGAACATTATGCTTTGTTTCCAGTACTCACAGTAGAGTTGGCGAAAATTGAGTTTGAATTGGCTGCAGAATATCCTGCATTGGTCAGGTCATCGCTGCTCTGCAAGAGGGCAAATTCAACATGGCGGTTACTTTGATAGCAAGAAGAAATAAAGCTTGTGTCTCCGCTATGTTCCCAGTGTTACTTACAGATTTATTACTAGGTCCATGTAGAAAGTAGTTCAATGCTTGTGGGTCTCTAGAATAAAAGAGGGCATCAAATAAATAAACATTATTTCCACTAAAAAAGAAAATGGCTGGGTACTGGTGGTTCATACCTGTAATCCTGTCTACTCAAGAGGCTAACCTACATTAGTCCTGTGGTTCAAGTGGTAGAGTGCTAGCCTTAAATAAAAGAAGCTCAGGAACAGTGCCTAGGCCCTGAGTTCAAGCCAGGACTGGTAAACACAAGTACACACAGGTACACACACACACACACACACACACCACCAGCTAAGCCAGGCGCCAGTGGTTCACGCTTGTAACCCTGGTATATACACACACACACACACTCTCTCTCTCTCTCTCTCCACCACCACCACCAGCTAAGCCAGGCGCCAGTGGCTCAAGCTTGTAACCCTAGCTGCTCAGTAGGCTGAGATCTGAGGACTGTAATTCAAAAGTCAGCCTGGGAAGGAAACTCCATGAGTCTCTTTTCTCCAATTAACCACCATAAAACTGGAAATGGCATTGTGGCTTGAGGTGGTAGAGTGCTAGTCTTGAACAAAAGAGGTCAGGGACAGCGCCCAGGCCTGAGTGCAAGCCCCACACCAACAGAAAAAAAAAAAAAAAAAAGAGTAGCAACTAAACAAGAAAACATTAGCCCGAGTAAACTCTTCTACTTATTTTAAAATGATTTTCTTAGCAGTTTTTCATTTATCTACTTTTTCTTTTTGATGTTCAATTTCTTATTATCAATAATTTCTGCTTCCTGAGATTCCTTTTTTTCTTTTTCTAGCTTTCAGTCATGAGGATGGAATCAAGAGTCTTTTCTACCACCAAGCTATACCCCAGGCCTTGCCTTCTGGGTCTTATTAGAAAAAAAAATGTAGTGAAGGATTACAAAATTATCACTCCTACGGCAATCTCTCTCCCCCTCACCTTTTGCTCTAGCTATGATTATTTACTTCTGAACTTCTTTTTTTGGCCAGTCCTGGGGCTTGAACTCAGGGCCCTGAGCTTCTTTTGCTCAAGGCTAGCACTCTACCACTTGAGCCACAGGGCCACTTTTAGCTTTCCTGTTTATGTGGCACTGACGAATCAAATTCAGGGCTCCATACTTGCTAGGCAAGCACTAAGCCAGAGTCCCAGCCCTCACTTCTGAACTTCTTAGGCTGCTTTGGTCCAGCAGGCCTCCCCCTCCACCCCCCCCCCCCGCTGGTCCCCTGGGTCTGCAATGAGTGCCTTACCCAATAAGATCAAGGAGACACGAGTCATCATCATCATCCATGACAACTGTGAAGACAAGAAGGAAGCAAGGTTCAGCAAGAGACTGCAGCCAGCAGCATTTAGGCAACACAAAGCGCACTTAAACTGGATATTAACAGCAGTGTCGTTCCTGTGTGTTTTTCTCTAATTGCTGGTCATCACTGTGATACTAGTTTCTGTGGATGCTGGGCATGACGGTATGTGCCTAGCACCTCCAAAGGCTAAGGAAGGATGGCTTGAGCCTGGGTGCCCATCTCAAAAAAAAAAAAAGAGAGAGAGAGAACAATTAAATAATTTTTATTTCCTCATCATTCAAGAAAGTATTGAGCAGGCACCAAAAATAAAAAAGAAGGTATTGAATTTCTGCTGGTACTGGTGGCTCACACCCATTATCCTAGCTACTCAGGCAGCTGATATTACGAGACAGAAGGGTGATATCAACCTGGGCAGAAAACAACTGAGAGACTCCAGAAAGCCTGACTGGAGATGTGGCTCAAGTGGTAGAAAGCACCAGCTAAGCAAGCAATCTGAGCAAATGTGAGGCCCAGAGTCCAAACCCCCGGTACCCACAACAAAACAAAACAACAAGAAAGGCACTGAATTTAAATTGCTTTTATTATAAACAAGTCCTCAATTTCAAGAGAAAGAGTCTAAGCAAATGGAAGATAGCTGGCAGCGGCCTCTGGCATACGGACTCACCCAAGAGCTCTAAAACAGCAAACAGCAACTTCCTCCAGTATAAGCAAACAAGAAGAAAAACCACACTTCTGTCTAGAACACCTCTCCTAGGTTCAGAGGTCTTTACGTTTGGGGGCTGGAGAACAATCCAGACTTCTTGCCATATTTCTGGCTAGCTGTAGGGAGCCAGAAAAGGGGGTTCTTTTGTGCATTTGGAGCCAGATGCAATCTCACGGACGGCCTGGCCACGGGCAGTGCAGGCCTGGGCTGCGGCCGGCAGGGCCCAGGTGCTCACGTCCGCAGAAGCACCACAGCTGCTCAATGCCAGCCCAGCCATAGCTTGCCCAAAAATGCTGCATGGAGAAAATGTCAGGCAGAAGTTCACCCCGCTCAGGCCCTGGGCTGCCTCCCTGCCCCACCGGCCGGCCGGCGTCCCCAGCACAGCCAGCGCGGTGACTGGGCTTTGGCTGAAACAATCACAACCGTACGAATTCCAAGAGTGGTTCTCCCCCGAGATCCAGGCAACTTACACTAGTGATCCGACACCTGGCAACACTGCTGCGCCCCCATTTCAAGCCATGCGTGGAATGAATTTACATCACAGAATGCCAAGGCCAAGAGTTCTGGAGCAGTTGGAAAGGCAGTTGTGGACGGCAGTTGGATGGAGGAATGAAATCCTGAAGAGATGCCCAGAAGAGGGCCACGCCCGGACGAGGCAGAGGAACAGGCTTTTTTTCCCCTCTCTCTTTTTGAATCTGCCATCTCCCCACATCTGTCACTGTGTCTGCCCCAAGGCCAAACAGAGACTCCAACTCCTGCTGGATGGAAGAGACCTTCTCTCTCTTAGGAGGAGTGGGTAAGTACTCCTGAAGCGGGCCTTCCCATGACCAGTTAAAGTTTTTAAGGTGCTGGGTGATTCGGGGGGGATTGCAATCCACTGAGAAGCACCCCGGGGTAGGGGAGGAGAGATGATGGATGAGAAATGAGGAAGGAAGGGTGGGAGAATGTGTCCAAAGGGGGGACCGATGGCTAAGATTATGAAAAGAGCCAGCCACATGGAGTCTAGTTCTCAGGACTTCTGAGCAATGAAAAGGGAACCAGAGGGAAATGGGGGAACTCAAGGTCAGATCTGCCCAAGTGACCATCTTCCCTGGGTCTGGATATTTAACACAGTCCATCTCAGTAGCTCTTTTCATTATCGCCCAGACACTGCAAGCACTTGGAATAAATTAGTCAACTGGTGACACTCAGGTAAGCCTAGAAAGTGGATATTTATTTTTCTCGTGTGTGTGTGTGTGTGTGTGTGTGTGTGTGTGTGTGCACGCGCACACGCGCTTTTCAAGCACAGCTGGCACTACTACTTGAGCCACAGCTCTACTTCTGGCCTTTTGCTGGTTTACTAGAGATGAGAAGCTCTCAGATTTGTCTGCCTGGGCTGGCTTCAAACCCTTCTCAGATCTCGGCCTCCTGAGTAGCCAGGATTATAGGTATAAGCTGGGGTGGCTGGGCTCAGTCTTACTTCTTTCTGGCAAGGTAACTATGTCAATGGAACAAGTTCCACTTTGTAAGTTTGCTTTTTGTAGCATGTGGTAACGTGGCTCAGTAGGAAGCCTATACCCGCAGGTGTGAGGCCTTGGATTTGATCCCCAACACCACAAAGCATCAACCAATACATAATGCATCTGCCAAACTACTAAAAATTAATGAAGGGGCTGAGAATGTGGCTTAATGGTAGAGTGCTAGCCCTGAGCAAAAGAAGTTCAGGGACAGTGCCCAGGCCACAGGACTAGCAAATAAAGGAGGCTGAGATCTGAGGATCGCGGTTCAAAGCCAGACCTGACAGGAAAGTCTGTGAGACTCTGATCTCCAATAAACCACTAGAAAACCAGAAGTGGCTCCCCTTGAGCTGAAGAGCGCAGGGACAGCGCCCAAGCCCAGAGTTCAAGCTCCACGACTGATCCAAAATAATAATAATAATAATAATTAATAATGAAACATGAGAGAAAGAGCCTATACCAAAACCCCTTTCACAACTGCCCTAGCTCTGCTGCTAGACCCCCTCCCCAGGTCCTGTACCTGACCACTGTCCCAAGGGTGAGCACACGGTTAAGGAGATCACAGCACCAATCCTGCCACTCAGGGGTCACTACCATCAGAGAACATGTGCTAGCCCAAGTTTAATTTAACAAGCTATTCCTTAAAGAATTAACAGCCAGCGCCAGTGGCTCATGCCTGTTGTGGTTCGAAGCCAGCCTGGGCAGAAAAGTCCCCTTGAGACTCTCATCTCCAATAAATGACTCAGAAAAAGCTGGAAGTAGTGCTCTGGCTCAAGTGGTAGAGTGCTAGCCTTGAACACTAAAGAGCTCAGTAACAGTGCCCAGGCGCTGAGTTCAAGCCCCAGGACTGGCAAAAAAAAAAAAAAAGTAACAATTTTGAAGGGCTGGGGTTTGAACTCAATGCCTCACTCAGGCTAGGCATGTGCTGAACACCTGACCCAACCATCTTCTAACTGGGTGAAATGAAAAGGTACTGTGAATCCTTTCCCTGCTAGAGAGGTGGTCAAACACTTGATTTCAAGGAGCCCTACTGGACAGGCCTCCCTTCCGGCCCCCACTTCTCTCACTGGGATCTCAAATGATCTGTCTCCATGACTGCTATTAATAGTGTCAAAGTGTAGTATAATTCTCTCACTGGGATGTTATGTGATGCATCAAAGTAAATTTACCTATGTAACACGGTAAGAACGCACTCTGATTCTAAGGTGGAGCGTGACTGGAGTCCACAGTGGCCAATGAGCGAAGCGAACGTGCCTTGGGAAGTGTTGTGCTCATTCGGGGACTGCCACTTGCACAGGCAGACTTGGCTGGCTGTGTGAAAGATGAGTCCTCTCTGAGCAGGCAATGCCCAAGTCAGTGACTGGGAGACTGTCTTGCATGGTCAGACAGCGAGCAAGACAAGTCCCCGAGGAACGGCAGCTCTAGTCAAGATCCGCCTCAGGGAAAGGGGGCTGGAGGGCCTACAAAGTTCTGGCAGGCCAGACAGAAATGACTGTCCGGGGGGCTGGGAAGGTGGTAGAGTGCTTGTCTTGCATGTATGAGGTCCTGGATTCGATTCCTCAGTACCACATACACAGAAAGCTGGAAATGGTGCTGTGGCTCAAGTGGTAGAGTGCTAGCCTTGAGCTGAAGAGCTCAGG